AAAAAAAAAAAAAAAAAAAAAAGAAATGGCTTCCTCTTTGCACTGTAGAGTTTCAGCTGGCAACGGCGGATGGCACGGTGGATTGTGTTCACTGACAATGCTTTCTGGAAGTATTCCTGAGCCCATTCTGTTATTTCCTTGACAGTAGCATTCCTGTTTTAGGTGCAGTGACGTTTAAGGGCCCGGAGATTACGAGCATCCAGTAGATTTTTACGGCCTTGACCCTTACGCACAGCGATTGTTCCAGTTTCTCTGAATCTTTTGATGATGTTCTGCACGGTTGATGATGATAACTTAAAAGTCTTTGCTATTTTACGCTGGGTAACACCATTCTGGTATTGCTGCACTATCTTTCTGTGCAACAATGGTGGAATGGGTGATCCTCTTACCATCTTGGCTTCTGAGAGACACTGACACTCTGAGAAGCTCTTTTTATACCCAATCATGTTGTCAATTGACCTAATTAGTGTTAATTGGTCTCCCAGCTGTTCGTTATATGCTCAATTTCCTTTTTCCAGCCACTTATTGGTACTTGTCCCAACTTTTTTGAGATTTGTTGGCACTGTGAAATTTTGAATCAACATATTTTTCCTTTAAAATGTTACATTTACTCAGATTAAACTTTTGATCTGTCATCTATGTTATATTATGAATAAAATATTGACATTTGCCATCTCCACATCATTGTATTCAGTTTTTATACACAATTTGTTTAGTGTCCCAACTTTTTTGGAATCCGGTTTGTAAGATGGAGCTAGGTTGTTGAGAGCTTTGTAGGTTAGAAGTAAGATTTTGAATTCAATTCTGGACTTGACATGGAGTCAATGGAGAGAAACTAAAACTGGAGAGATATGATCTCTCCTAGGTCCTTAGTCAGGGAGGTGACCAATAACCCGACTGTCACTCTGTCAGAGCTCCAGCATTCCTCTGTGGAGAGAAGAGAACCTTCCAGAATAACAACCAGCTCTGAAGCAATCCACCAATCAGGCAATCAGGTAGAGTGTCCTGATGAAACCCACTCCTTAATTAAAGACACATGGCAGCCTGTCTGCAGTTTGACAAAAGGCACCTGAAGGACGCTCAGACCATGATAAACAAAACTCTCTGGTCTGATGGGACAAATATTGAACTATTTGGTGTGATTGTCAGGTATCATGTTTGGAGGAAACCAGACACTGCTCCTCACCAGGGCAACACCATCCCTACAGTGAAGCATAGTGGTGGCAGCATCATGCTATGGAGAGATTTTTCAGCAGAAACTGTCAGACTAGTCAGGATAGAGGGAAAGACAAATGCAGCAATTTAAAGAGACATCCTGGATGAAAACCTGCTCCAGAGCACTCTTGACCTCAGACTGTTCATTTTTCAGCAGGACACTGACCCAAAGCACGTGGACAAGATCTCAAAGGAGAGGCTTCAGAACCACTCTGTGAAGGTCCTGGAGTGGCCAAGCCAGAGTCCAGACTTGAATCTGATTGAACATCTCTGGAGATATCTGAAAATGGCTGTGCACAGATGTCTCCCATCCAGCCTGATGGAGCTTGAGAACTACAGCAAAAAATAAATAAATAGAAAAAAGTGACAAATTATCTAAAGATAAGTGTGCTCAGCTTGAAGCATCATATTCAAAATGACTTGAGGCTGTAACTGCTGCCAAAGGTGGATCAACAAAGTATTAAACAAAGGCTGTGAATATTAACTGTAAATAAATGTGATTTTTTTGTTTTCTATTTTTAATAAATTTGCAAAAATCTAAAAAATAAAAAACTTCTCCCACATTGTCATAAAGGGATATTGTACTGTATGTAGAATTTTGAGGATATTATGAATTTAATACAATTTCAGTAAGGCTGTAACATAAAATATGTAAAAAGTGAATCACAGTGGATACTGGATGCACTGTATATATATATATATATATATATATATATATATATATATATATATATATATATAATGTGGCCTTTAAACTATTTTGTGTTCTCATTATTGCACATTCAGCTGAGGAAAAGGGTGAAAATGGAGGGCAGTGTTAGCGTGCTCTAGCTGCCAAAAGGTTCCAGCTAAATCCACGGCAATTATTTTTGCTTACCAGCTCATGTATTGAGTGCACGGCCCAAAGTAATTTTTTTTCAACATCAGCACCACTGGCCAGGTGTTTACATTCTGTATTCAGTCATGTATTGTACCAAACGTAACGGAGTTGGGCGAAACATTAAGTCCTGTTCTTTTTCCCTACAGTTGTAGTTTGTGATTATGTGTTTTTTGTTTCTTGGCAGGTTCAAGTAGGAGGCCTCCACGTGTCTCCTGGAGCTGTGCACATCATGTCTGACAGTCTGCTGACCCTTCCAGCCATTGTTAGCATTGCAGCAGGTGGAGGGCTCCTCCTCATCATCGTCATCCTCGTCCTCATTGCCTACAAGCGGAAGTCTCGTGAAAATGACCTCACCCTGAAGCGCTTGCAGATGCAAATGGACAACCTGGAGTCACGAGTTGCCCTGGAGTGCAAAGAAGGTTGGTATCAGACGGAGTGCAGCAGCTGCCTGATGGGAAACTGAGGCTGTTCTGTACCACGTGCAGCTGAATGGGACTTTAAATGCGTTTTTATTTAGTAGATTCTAATCACATAACCAGCATTAGTGCGTATCTGTGCATTCAATAATTTAATGCCAGGCTGTGTGAGTTAGATAATGCAGTTACATTTTCTACAAATCTGGACCAGTGAGTCATCCTGGTTATTTATCACAACAGATTTGGTTCGTTAGCCGTGCATGTGACACCTCATCATGCAGTGGTCGCTGCTGTTAAAATGCTGCCAACAGACTTTTATATTAACCAGTGCTTGAACACGTTAGTCATCCAGTTACAACATTTATTCAACCCAGCAAGCGACGCACAACATTTTATTTACATTGTAACTGGAGCAGTGATATTTGATGTGTGTGTGTGTGTATACTGTGCAAATGTCTTGAGTCAACCCTCAGTTTTTTTATAGGTTTCTGACAAATAGTCACACTAACATTTAAAGTGACTTTGATGAGTATTTGAAGGCCATTGAAAGTTTGGATTACTGTTTTCGTTTGACATCATCTCCTTTTTTCCAACTTGTCAGCCCACTCCTTATACTTGAGTGTTTTTAAAAAACATATTTGTGTTCCACCTCCTAAGACTGACTGATGGCTCAATCAAGCTTTAACTTCCTAGGACCTGGCATCCAAATATGCAAGCGTTTGGGTCTTAGGAGGTTAAAAATCTTGCATTTGATGAAAAGGATGAGGTCTAACAGAACAGACAACCCTAGTATTTTCATTCTTTAGCAGCATTGCCAAAAAGCAATATAAAGACTTTTGCTTTACCACAATATTTAAGTGCCAAAAAACTTAGCTGACCATAGGAAGGTGTGCAGCTCAAGACTTATACACAACACTGTATGTTTTTATTGTTGCAGTGCAGATAATTCTGTTTAAACATGTTTTGGCAAAACCAAACTGCAATTAATGTATTCTGGTCCATCCAGTTTTAAAAAGTCTCTATTATATGACACACAGATGTTTGGAAACACTCCCTTCCTCTCGTGTGTTTGCGTTGATGAAGAGGTCAAATTTATTAATCTGACTTTTGACTTTCTGCTCTGAGAGAGCACAGCCATGACCTCAGCCTCACCTTTGGTTTTCATTTATAAATTGTACAAAACATTCAGTCATAGTTGGGTCATTTTGGCCAATCTTTACTCCGGCCAAACAGAGGTCCATGTCTGACACCGTTCGGGGGATTTTATCAGCCACAGAGGACCTTATTAATTATCCCCAGCAGCCTCTCCTCTATCCCAGTGTTATTAAGCTGTGAATTTTTTTTTACTTGTAGCAAATAATTGTCAAATGGCAGACAGACAGCGGAGGAGAATCACAGCAGCAGCCTTGGGAAAGAAGAAGATTAATGTTTTAACCAATAGCAGTGGCCAAGAGAGTCGTGCCTTGCAGGCTGGATTTAGATAGGTGTCTGGGTTCGCCTGCAAGTTGCTGCTGGTTGCATGGGGGCTGCGAGGGCAGAAGCTGACGACTAAGACTGGTTTATGGGGCTTTGAGGTGGGTGTTAAGGGACTGCTGCTGTTCCTGTGATGGGCTGAGGGCAGGGAGACTCCCCAAGGGCGTCCAAACCAAGGAACAGAGCCGTGGGCCTGAACGATGGAGCCAATTAACTAGTGCTCACCTGCAGCCTCACACTGAGATGACACAATCTTTGAGGCCTTTGCTGCAGCCAATTTACCATCTGGGAGATAAAAATGAACAAGAAAAAATAAGCACAGGTGAGTGTGTGTATGTGTATGGAAGAAAAAGCTGTTTATTTTAAGATTGATATGTGAAAAACTGAGTTCCTCTGACTTAAAGATGATCTTGAGCTTACTGTCATCCTCATCTTGAGAGCAGTAAACACCATGAAGATAAGATGGATTCCCTTATTTGCTCCCTTGGGATTAAAGAACAGTTTTATTTCTGCAACACATTTCTTCAACGGGCCTCTCCTTCCTGTCTTCCCTCTCTATCAGCCTTTGCAGAGTTGCAGACTGACATCAACGAGCTCACCAGTGACCTCGACAGAGCTGGAATCCCCCATCTGGACTACAGAACGTACGCCATGAGAGTTCTCTTTCCTGGTATAGAGGATCATCCCGTCCTCAGAGAACTGGAGGTAACTACCAGAGGAAACAAGGGCAAATGAGTAGAAGCATAAGCAGTTAATGCTTTGAGAAAGAGCAAACAGCCAGGCTGAGGTTAGAAAAGAGACAGAAGTATTCCCACTGTAGGATAACCTTCATAAGCAGGAAATTGTTCAACGGGGAAAAGGATACCAGTCTGCCAGTTATCCTTTCTACGTTGCGGTTTCTCACGCATGCTTAGTCAATCATGCTGGGCAGCACACACACACACACGTGTGTACTCCTAACATGTGAGCTCTCTCATGGAAAACAGGGTCCCAGCACATTGCTATTTCATCCACCAGTGGCTGCAGTATGAGGGGTAATGAAGTGAGTAATTCCTACTCCTCAAGCAGGAGTGTGGGTTCTTCCACCGTGATAGAAACTGTCCGTTTAAGATTTTTCGCTCCCCTTCATGCATCTTGATTACCAAAGTATTGTTTTGGTGCTTGGATTGTCTTACCAGAAAAGCACGACGTCTGACTTGAATGTGAAATGGCTAATTTTAATCACAGTGCTTTTTGGCAGAACCCCCTGGTCAATAATTGATTAGGATCTTCTCAGTTAACCATCATGACGGTGCTTCTGTCTCCCTAAAGAGAAACATGAGTGAGGAGTTGAACTCCTTTGGAAAAATCTTTATTTTGTGTGAGACAAGGTCACAATAAAGGTTGAAGAGCACAGTCTGAAAACAGCTCGTTAAGATTTGAGTTAAGAGCAGACGGTGTAGTGTTCTTATTAGCCTCAACATAGACCGTTCTTTCTGACTGTCGTGTTCAGGTGTCAGGCAACGGCCAGCAGAGCGTGGAGAAGGCCCTGAAGCTGTTTGGGCAGCTCATCAACAACAAAGTGTTCCTGCTCACCTTCATACGAACGCTGGAGATGCAGCGCTCGTTTTCTATGAGGGACCGTGGCAACGTGGCCTCGCTCATCATGACTGCCCTGCAGGGACGGCTGGAGTACGCCACCGATGTCCTCAAACACCTGCTGTCGGACCTGATCGACCGCAACCTGGAGAGCAAGAACCACCCCAAACTGCTGCTGCGCAGGTAACACGTTTACTACACCTTGGAAGATAGGTTCACAGTAAACATCGCCCTAAAAGGCATAAAAGAAAATGAAACTTCTTTTTTCTCCATATTCTCATCTTCTTTATGATTTTTATTTCATGTTGAAATGACATGAAGTGACAAAAACAAAGGCCTGTTTATAATCACACAGCATCTTAATGAGAGAGTGTGTTAATCCTTTGTTTACTGCTTGCTTTATATAACTTTCTGGTGTTTAATTTAGTAAACACACACGCACAGGATTAGGGTGTATCCCAGCTCCCATGAGGTTAGTTATATGCAGATGCTAAAACCACAGTCCTCATTTAAAATCATGGGAAGAGGTGCAGAGCTGCAGGGAGATGATGATGATTATTGACAGATAGATGGGGATTAATTTAAAGCTGTATATTCCTCACCTTTTCTTCCCTTCATGTTAATGCATTTTGATTTTCTCCAGAAGAAACTCTGTAGAAAAAGGCGTGTAATAAGTGCTGTTGCACGTCTACCGTTTGCCGAGATCAATGACTTGAATATTCACATCAGAAGAAACATCTGAACTCTCTACGTTCTCCCTCTTGCTCCGTCTCTCCCACTGCTCTTTTTAATGCCACTTTCACTTACGCTCCAGGCTCAGGCTTCTTATAAAACATTCAAGTCTGGCTCAACATTTTTCTCTCTTTGTGCATCCAGCATGCATTGTTTTCCTCAGGAGTTGGGACGATCTATTAAAATTTCAAACACCTGCCGAGTCCCTGCCACAGTGTCCTCAGCTGCTTCTGCTGGCTCTGTAGATATAAAAAAGACAAACGAACGGTTAGCTCTAAAAATATGTGCAAAGCGCGGCCCTACCTTAGCACCTGACAGCTCGGTTTGATTTTGATTATGTTTACGTGACTAACAAGCTGCGACAGTGACAGCAGGTAGCTGCTACACTTTCAGATGACACTTTTTCATGTTTTCTTGGTACCTCAGTTTGAAAAGACCACAATAATTTCTCTGAGTAAATACCTGCCAGACAAGAAAGCACGACACAAAGACAGAGGGGTGGGAGAAAGCAACATGGCATCAAACAACTCAGATGTATGGAGGACGGAATGTGACAAAATGAAATAAATACATACATAATACATACATAACATTTAAATGTATAATTTAATTATTAAATTCATCATTAAATATGCAATTAAATACACCATTAAATAATGAAATGTACCTTTTAAATTATTCATTTCATGATTTATATATTTATTTAATTTTGTCACCTTCCGCCCTCCAATGACACCATGAATTTATGTTAACTGTCAGTCTCACTCGTCAAACTCAGTGGGCGGGACTAACCCTAACCCTGGCTCATGATTGGCCGCTCCTCACAGCAAGCCAAGACAAATCGACCACAGATAACAGATAGGCCAGAACAATATATTCCGAAAAAGCTTTAGGAAGCGGTAATTGTGTTTATGTGTATTTGGATGAAACCTTTTTTCATCCGGCCGAATCAATGGATTTCACATGTTCAGCGTTAGTCCCGCCCACTGAGTTTGATGAGTTAGACTGACAGTTAACATAAATTCATGGTGACATGTGACCAAATTAAATAATTGAATAAATCATGAAATAAATAATTTAATTGTGTATTTAATAATGTTCTTGTTTATTTAATGATTTAATGTTGTATTTAATAATTAAATGATACATTTCATTATTGTGTATTTATTTATTTAATTTTGTCACCTTCCATCCTCCATACAGATAAAGCTGTTATTCCACACCTTGTCACCTTTAAGTTTCCATTATCTCTTCTCGTTAGAAGCGCAGTGGTACATAATCCTCAGGGCTCTGCCACTACAGCCTGGAGGGCTAATTGTCCTACAGCTTTTACATTTTACTCCCCAGTTTTGTGAAGAATTTAAGGGATTACTGATTTGACATGGCTCTTTGCTGTTGTTGCTGTCTTTATCGCCCATTTAGAGAAATCCAGATAGTCGAGTCAACAAACAGGCTCGTGCACACACGTATCAAGGCACCGACACACTCATGTGTGATGATAATGGAACGGAACACGTCTGTAAGCAGGGTGCGTTTGTGCAGCGTGTGCAATGAAGCTGCTGGGCTTTGCTTCGTTGCTGATCAGTTTTCAACATGTAGTATTTTACAATACAGTGAAAACCTCATTCAGTTTATTCAGAAAACTTTTTTTTTTAACTTTTTTATTAGATTTTATTTATATAAACAACACATTTGAACAAAAACACAAAATTTCTCCACTAGGTGGCGAGAATTAAAATATAGACAAAGAACAGCTTCTCTGTTTTGACATTTTTATACATTTTTTTCTTCGATACTGTTTACCACTGCCTATTGTTTATCAACCGATTTAGTACACATTGTTTAATAACAAAAGGTTTAAGATCCATTAGAACAAATGTAGAAAATCCAGTAAAAATGGCTTCATTGTTATTTTGGTCAGAGTGAGCGTGCACAAATGACTGACAGGCCGGACTTGATTAAGAAGAAGGTTGTTGATTCATTTGTTTTTATTGGGTGGACCAAAGAAATATCAGAAGAACAAGTATAAATTAAAACTGCACCAGTCTATGTTCAGTGAAAAAGCAGGGCTTACTCTGAGCCAGATCCTGCCGGAACAGGATCTGGGAACTCTCTTATTTTGACAGGGTACGTTCCGGTAACTGTTTGCTTGGATCCAATAACTCTCAGGCTTAAGAATAATCAAGTTATGAACAAATTTGACTGCCTTGAATGAATAAAACCTATATTACATATGTAATCTGATAATAATTACATAAACATTCGTTTTAAACATAACAAGCTTCCTAATATCACATCAGAGCCGTCGCTTCACATTTCTGCTTCCGCTCTTAAAAAGTATCGCCGCCCCTAAAAGTTCAAAGTCATGGGCAATTTTATTAAAAACAAAAATGTATAATTAAACATTTTCCACTAGCTCCTGTGCTTTTTTTGAACAATCTGATGTGTGAATCACTGCAGGAGTTATCTGATCTGCATAAAAGAGACAATGCTCTCGGCTCATACAGCTGTTTAACTGCAGTCAGAGTGTTTGAAGCGATGTCGGAGCGACCAGGACACTTTTCTGAACTGAGCAGGAGGATTGAGAGCAACTCTTTATCTAAGCACCGACAAAGTGTTAAATATTAGGCAGTTTTTTCAAAGTGTGGCCAAAAACAGAACAGTGCTTGTTGTCCCAGGGTGGGCGCCTGCCTGACAAAAGTGGCTCTGATCATTTTAATGAGGAGCTGCAGCTGTTTTATCCACAATATGGTCTGAGGACGCAGGTTTACTCTGTGGACAGACTGAAGTCGAGTCACTCTGTCTGCGCTTCAATCACCAAAATTTCCTTAAATGAATTGTTAAAATTAAGTAGTTTTTATTTGATACTATTTCTATCTTAACGTGATTCTTGACCTGCAATTGTGTATCTATTCCTCTCAAACCCAGCTGGTCGAAGCAGATGACCACTTGTCCTGAGCCTGGTTCTGCTAAAGGTTTCTTCCTCATGAGGGAGTTTTTCCTTTCCACTGTCGCCTTCATGCTTGCTCAAGATGAGAGTTCTGTGATGGAGTTAAATTCGAAGCAGTCTGCTCCTCAGATAAATAATGTTAAATTATTATTTTTATATATGAATGTTTCGGTTCAGTGCCCTGAGGTGACTTCTGTTGTGACTTGGCGCTTTATAAATAAACCAAATTGTACTGAATTGAATAAATGACAAGAGAGTTTTAAATGGGCCAGTAAAATCTATGATTTATTTATTTGTTTAATTATATTTATTTATTTGTTTGTTTATTGCAGTACAGTAGTCAGATCCTCGACCCATCTGTCAGCAGACATAATCCAGTAGACACGTCAGCAACTGACCAATTGGCGACCTCAGTTTGTCCTCAAGTGAACGCCTCTTACCTGCAGAACTGCAACAGTTTTGCTATTTGTGTTCCGGCGTCGTCTGATTTACAAATTAAGCCCTGGTGCCAAGTATTTCAAATTGAAGACACAAACTAAAATGGCTAAACTATTTTTATTTAAAATGTGCGTTGCATGCAAATACTGCTTTGATGCATGTTTGCTGTTAGAAAAGGTAAAGGAAGCATGCCCACGGGGCACGTGAGCCACTTTTGAAGTGATATAATGGTTGGTACTTTCCCAGCGAAAGCAAAAAAATAAATAAATACCGGTAAATAAATCATTTTACTTACTGTTATTTTATTTTTTTTTTCTGTAAGATTGAGTAAAACTATGCCCCTGTACATACAAACATGGTAAAACCGGAGAATTAGAGTAAAAATGAGGGCCATTGATTAACAGAAATTATCTCTAACATAAATAATTCCAGGCCTCTGCCATAATTTATCTTTCTTTCTTGCATGTTCTCTGGTCTTAGAATGGGACGTACTGGTTGTTTTTCAGTGTTTGAGTACTTTTACCAATGAATAATCTGTACTTTATTGGAAATGACACTTTCATTTTTAAGTTCAATATTGTTGTAATAATTGTTGACAAATGTTGATGAGTGATAAATGACCAGACACAATGAAGGTATTTGATCTGTTTGTAGAATTTGGTTAAATATCCATTAAAACAAGTGTCTGGTGTGATTTGAAAATACATTATTGACAGCTTAGAGAGTCAGTACGCTCACAATAGTTAAATAAATGTAAATTGAATCTAAAGTCAACTACCGGTAAATACATTTTAGAAGACATTTACCTGGCTGGGGCCATACAATTAATAATTTATTACCAAGAGGGCTAACAAGTAGTTGTCTGTTTTTAGGGGCATGTTTAACAGAATAGTTCCTAAGAATAAACCCCATCCTGTCTGAGTGGTTTGTGTTCATCATAGCAGAAATGATTCATCACTTGTTATGAAACCTACGTTTCCCCATTATCTCCAGCTAAGTGCTCATGAAACATCCCAGACCTGCAACAATCACTGATCGCATTAACAGTAGCCTAAATACGTCC